CAATGGTATGTAGATGCAAGCGGCGCTGTACCGACACCGATGGCGCTGGATCTGCGGTGCTGCACCGACACCAATGGCGCTGGCTCTGCGGTGCTGCATCGACATCCATGGCGCTGGCTCTGCGGTGCTGCACCAACATCGATGGCGCTGACTCTGTGGTGCTGCACCGATATCGATAGCGCTGGCTCTTCGCGCAGCGAAATAAGCGGAAACCAAAATTAAATGCCTATTTGATGTCCTGGGGGTGTGGAACATCGTTATCATGCAATGTGTCCGGACGACATGATGGTGTTGACAGCATACAGATGTAGCTGAGGTTTACTTTATCTTGTTGAGACACGAGTGGTCATGGTTGCATTATTGGCGGTGATGCTACCAGCGCTAACGGCGATGTCTGCGCGCATTTTGACCATTAATATCTTTAGTTCTAAAACAACTTCGGTAACGCGCGGCACACGTACGCCAAATTTTTGCACAGTTCTAGGCAATTCATAAGTTGTCTTTTGGTATCAAGCAATTCAGATATGTATCTTAGGTCGTTGACCTAAAGACATTGGCTGTCAGCGAGGGCAACTCCTAGAAAACCGTTCAGTATGTCACAACGCAGTATTAGACGAAATCATGCAGTTTCGAGATGGACTGCAAATTATTGTTACGACCTGTTCCATTGATCTTGGGTCAGGTTTAGAGGTCACACCAATACCAACATATCTGATTGGACTTTAACGTCATGAAAGTTAGACTAGGTCGCTGACCTGAATGGTTTAGACAAATAAATCCTTTTCGCTCTCGGCAGCATGCCGCCTAGAGTAGTATATATGTTATTCTAAATTCAAACATCAAATAATCCCGGAGGTTTGGGTCACGTTTACCTTCTACAAGCCAAAGAAAGTAACCGACATGGTATGAACAACACTGGCATTTCGCTCATAAGTGGTATCGATATCAAAGGAGATGTTCCCCATTGGAAGATATGAAAGGAAACAAAATCGGCTATGACGCTATAAGCGCAATTGTAACTTTCGGCATACTTGTATGTGGAAAAGACTGCTCTAGACAACACAATTTCTCTGTACACCAAATATGCCCCTCGACACGTTATTATTTAATTGCGTCCTTGTACCTTGCACAACATTAGTTGAGAGCTAATTGATGGCCGTTGTACCGGGAAATCGTGCTCACGAACGCTAAATATGAAAGACTCGACAATCATATTTGTCTTGGCCTTGATGGCCGCACGGCCAATGGGATGGTAAGATTTGAATGGCTTTCTTGTGGCGTCAGGATGCCTGCGTAACTTTGAAATAATGTGAACGTCTTCGCGGGTGCGTAGCTTGGAAACTCCAGGGGTTTGGAAATTAAGAAGGGCAGGACTGCGAAGTGCAACGAATGATTTTCAAGATGGCTATTTCAGTTTAAAATCCCCCACAAGTGTGGAACACTCCCTTTACGGTTGGTTGCGTAAATAAATCTGATGTCGCTTCTGACACCGATCTGGACCTAAAAGAAATTAACCCCGGTGAGATCACATGTGGCCTTCATAAAACGCTGAGACGGCGCCCGTACCCGTAAGACTAAGCAACGAATCTCTAGCTTTCTTAGTCTTTTAAATCTTATGGGGTCACATTGGCCCCCACTCCCACACGAGCGCAAAACGTATAACCAACCACTCGGGCGCGTGTTAAGCCTTTTAGATGCTAAAAATGGTTTGACATCCGCGACGATCGGAAAGAGCAGTCATGTATTGGTGATGTTGCAACGTAACAGAACTACGAGTCCTGATCAAACGGCCAGCATTGAAGTGCTCTGTCCGCGTGAAAACGCAGCTTGAAATACGGATGCAACGTGCTGTTTAAAACTTCATGACAGCCGGTGGTTACAAAGGCGGCAAACTATCTTAGCAGACAGTGATTGCCAAGATAGAATCTCGTCAATAGCGTTGCAAATCAGTCTGGGACGAGTCGGACCGACCGCTGCGACTCCAGCGTTTCTGGTGAGCTTACGTAACAAGGGGCTGATGCACATTTGAAGATATTGAAACAAGCATCAGATATAATGGAAAAGCCCGCATGTAATTGTCAGTGCGTTTTCAAGTGCACAAGTCCGGTCGGGCCGTGACTTGGCCTGGGGCGGTTGCTCCCCTCGCGCGCTCCGCCGCGCGCCTGCGATCGGCGGCTCTGCGTGTGGCGCGAGCGCGATGTCAATGCGAGCCTAAGCCAGGGCCCACGCCAGCTAGAGGCTGCAACGGCAGAATGTGGTGATTGGAAGTGATTTCAGCACGTTCTCATCAGGAGGCTGTGGCCCAAGACGTCAGAAGTCAGTGAATACTTCGAACGCTGCATCCTGCGAGTGGAGAAAAACAACACCGGCCCCAGCTGGGTCAAACCATGGCGGAGGATAGAGACAGTGACGTAGTTGTCGACCCTGATGAAACGACTAGTAAGACAAGCCAATCTCACAAGACAGAACAAGATATTCTGAAAAAAAGATAGAGACCAGCGAGTTGAGACAGCGCCAGAAGATGTCGAAAGACCCGCACGGGTCATGTAGTGAGAGTCTGCTCGGAGGTTATTCTAAAAGGTAAGTGGGACGACAGTGAGCTGTGTATAAGTGAGAGTCTGACGCCGAGTAAACGGGACATTTTCATCAAACTCTTGGTGTACAAGAAGGAAGGTCGGCTACATTGTGAGTTTAGCCGCAACGGGTTCGGGTACTGCAAAACAAGTGCGGGGGCTCAGAAAGTCCTGATGGACAGTGTTGATAAGATCGAAGGTCTTTTCCGTAACAACCATTGATACACATGCTTGTGCAGATGTGTGAATATTTCCCTCATGCGGGCAACGCTGCATTTGCAATTCCGATACGACCAGTCCCGCTGTGACTCGGGTGTCATGCAGACGTTTCATGACGTAATGAAACGATGACACATTAAGGAAATTATTTAGTGAGTAGTGGAATCTTCTGTCCAGGACAGTCTTTCACACTTCAGAGCGAACCAAATGCTACAAGTGAGGTTATTATATTATGAATATTCCCTTTAAAGGGAATGTTCCACATTTGAAGACATTGAGACAAGCATCAGATATGAGCAAATAAGCTCACTTGTAGCTATTGGCATGTTCTTGAGTGCAGAAACTTCTCTAGGGAACAAAATCCAACTATATAGTTGATATGATCTTCAATACGTCATCGTTTAGTTGCGACATGGAAAGCCTGTATGACTTCAAAGGGGCGTCCAACTTGGCTGTGCAAAATTGCCACCCTAGTGGACGAGCTGACTTATTTGAAATACTTCAACACCCCAAGAGATGTCGTGCTAATGGGTGTGGTGTTTCCATAACCCACATATCCTGCGTGGGCGTGTTTCGGCCCTTTCTTGTAGTGGTCTTGACATTAACCCTTTATGTTATATTCTTACCTGCATTTACATGAGCGATGATAGTGGTATTCTGAAGCTATTCGATTACACTGAAATGACCTGATTTGGATTTCGCGTAATCCTGACCCCACGCCTGACTTCACAGACCGGTCTGCGCGGGACCCGGGTGCACGTTTCGGGTTTGAGTCCGGCGACCTCCTACCGGTTCCGGGTGTACAGCCGGAACGGCGTCTCGCCCGTGGCAGCCGGCGAAGATGAGCACCAGACGATCGATCTCACCACGCAGTCGTCAGATTTGCTGCCTCGGCGAGCAAGCGTCAGATCAACGTCCCATCTGAAGCGGCGGTCATCGAATGCGGGTGAGTAGTTGTCAAATCTCTGTCGTGCACGCCAGTTATGTCTGTCGCGTCGGTGAGTTTCACATCGATCACACCATGCTCTCGTCAGGCGCAGTCCAGCTTAGCTCAAACCCAAACGCTTTTGCCAGACACAGGCTCGACAAACAGAACTGTCTAGTGGCTTATCCACCTGTACGGTAGGCCTACCCGCTTTGCAACTTTTTCCGAAAATTCTTTACATTATGTTTTTAGCTTTATTTTCAACGCTGAAACCAGTTACTGCCTTAGAAAGGACAAACCCCGCAACAATTTACCGGTGCAAACCGTTGACAATTTTGGGCTCTTCCTGTGCTTCGGGAACTCTGACCCGAGCCACAGTAATTGGAGGCCCCGGTGAAACAGTCGATGCACTCCAGCCTTATTGGCCACGCAGTGCTCAAGGTAAATACAAATATTACCACCGAGCTATTCGTGTCAATCGCACGTCAGCATGATTTCTGGCATCAACGAACTTCAGTTGGCTCTGAACCAATGCAGTGCGTTGAATGCAACATTAAGACGCGAAACACGTTTGGTGCTTTATCATGCAGGGATTTGGGCCGTGTTACGAGTTATGACGGAAATAAGACTGCGAATTGAATAACGCAAGAATAGTATCATAACCGAGTCTGCAAAACTCAACGGACCGAAATGAAAGATCACCACGAGAAAGGGCCAAAATACATGCACATAACGATATTTGGGTTCTAAAAATAACGCACCGATTAGGACGACACTTCTTCGGAAGTTGGAATACTGCAGGTGGGTTAGTCAGTCCGCTACGCACGGTCAATTTGGCAGCGACTCCGACCTCAAGCAAACGTTCCACGACGTTTTCAAACAATGGCGTATCGAATAGCACTCTGACTAAAAAGTGAAATTGTGTTGTCTAGAAAATTATTCTGCTTGCACATAACAGCATACCAATAATTACAACTGACCTTACTTCATCACCTCTGATGCTTGCCTCAATATCTTCCAATGCGGGACATTCACTTCCAACCACGCTTTCCACTGCTGCTGGCGATAAGCCGCCAATGAATGCCAGTGCATGAGCGTCCGGCCGGTTGCAGCGGTGCTGCTACCTGCAGGACAAACGAGGTAACTGTGCAGCCTGGATACCGATCCAAAAGCGCCATGCATTTACTTTTTATTGGTGATCCACTGGAGTGCCGTGCATGAGGATATCTATAGACACGGACGCGTTGTCGTTGCTGTTACACTACCATTTAGTTTTTGTGTGATGCTGACGCAAGCGGAGCGTAATAGTGGAGTTGTCGAGAGCCAATGATTTTGGCTTTTGAGTGCGGCCTTAGGCCCGAACCAGGGGTTAAAAAGTGCCTTTTCTATCACTGACAGAATTTGGAACCCTCTGAACCGTCACTTGGAGCCATTTTTGTCAGAAACCGTTGCAATATTAATTTAAATGCAATAAGCCACAAAACAGAGACAACTAAAATGCAATGCGGCATAACCATCACAGGTTTTTGTTTCGCGAGCTCATTTACACTAAGGTGTCATTTCCTGGCCATCGAACACTGAATGGTGGGTGAGATTGATTAATAAAAATATCAGATGCAAGCATGGCCAACACAATCAGCATAGAGGCGTGTAGTTTCTTATTCAGTTGGGGGAGCGGAGTATCCCAGCCAGGGGTGTTGTATTCTATTTGTTATTAATTTGATCCCTTATTTTTCAGCAATCATATTTGTTAGGTTCAGCTTACCAAATAAAGTTATTTTAAGAGACCACACTGCTGCTCCACCTCTGAAAAGGAGGTGCATGAAATCTGGGGAGAAAACTGCTTATAATTGCATGTCTCTCAGACCTACGTATTTTGACCAGACAGGACTCAGCCCTACGTATTCTGTAAATATGTACCCCTGTAGCCCTACATTTACTGAGTGCGAAACCCATTCAATATCGGTATCAACAGATGCAAACAGCACTTTTGAACACCTAGCACCCTCATTTAACTCTATGTATAATACGATGACAATAAAAAGCGTTTTATCCCACACCTGTCCACCGATCAGTACGCTAATTAAGAGGTGCGACGGGCAGTAAAAGAGGCATACACCAGAGATGCTCGGCATCTTATCCCAAAGCTGCTGTTCCTCTCAGCAGCAACAAGCCCCGAATGAACCCATAACATGTGTCGCTCCAACGTCCTCCGTTCACATCTGAAGCTACAGGTCGGCTTTTTACCCCCTAGATCAGCAGGACTTTTTAACGCTATTACCAGGGACTCCTCCATGGTATATCCTTGGAAAAGCCGCACAGCGCCTTAAATAAACTAACGGTTGGCTGCATTTTCCAGGCCAGTCAGTTTCTCACGACCTGAATACAACCAACCGCAGCCCACGTCCTAGCACTGAGCTAATTAATTACCGCGTGGGGCGCATTCGAATCCACCTGTCTCAAATGGCACGATGCTTTAAAACGCTGCGCAGCAAGCTGATCATGTTCGTCGCAAAATGCTGTGGCCAGCCACAATTCATACGATTAGCAAGAACTCTAGCTATTTCGTGTTCCATACTGTTTAGTATGTGAAGTGAATTTTGGCTGAAAATCTGTGAAAAGCGATGATCTGAGGGACATTGGAAAAGCACTGCCGCCGCTGATCCGTGACGTTCGCTCTGATTTATTTAAGTTTGTATTATACTTCTGCCACCTGCTAGAAACTATCCTGATTAAAGCTACTATGTTTGTCAGCATCTTGTTGCTCATCTTGCTCATACAGCAAAACGTCAACGTTTCGGCATGTGCTCTACACATGCTCACGCCGCAAGCGTTAGCGAGTATCGACCAATACCAATCCATACATCAAGATGGGTTTCGTCTAGCTAGGATGGTGTGCTGTAGATTGGTCTGGTCTGTCGTACCTTGTTTCCAGTGTCGCTTTTTTGTCACCAATGGGCTCGCAGAAGTGTCTGTTTTTGCACCTATCATATCCGGTAAATCGGAAGCTTCTTTCAGCCGTGGTTCGAATACGGTGGCGCATTGCCCCCGGGATGTCATATTCAATAGAGGCTTACACTCACTAGTCAGTGCTGCTCCTTCAATGGGCTCGGCAACTTAGACGTCATGTTCCTTGTAAGCCGTACAGCAGCCTTCGTGTTTATACTGTCTGTGTGCATTTCACACCCTGTCAGTCCCTCTGACATCTGCCGCAGAGAACGGGCGATACAGCTTCTCGTCGACTGCAACGCTCGTCGTCACGTGCATCGTCACGGCCTTCGTATTAGTTGGCGTGATCGTCTTCATGGTCTTCAAACACGGGTGAGTAACAGCCCGTCTTGCATCGCAGAGAGATTTCTGTTGCCTCCAGTCCTTAACTCGCGAATGTCCACCAGTTGTATGGCATGCAATACTTGCATACCCAAAGGACATTCGATACAACGGTTCATGTTTCGGTTTGGACAGATCTGCATGACCACCAGCCTTCTATCCTTCGGACGCCGGACGATGCTGTTGGGTGCTAGTCATTTCAGTGTCTGGGTGAAAAGTAAACTGTGGCGGTCGCGAATGCATAACCATTTCATGCCGACCGTCTGGGTCTCAGGCTGTATTAAGCTTTTATAAACATTGCTTACCATCCGCTGTGTAAAGGGAAATAAGTCGTCGTTCTGGATGCACACACGGCTCAGCTGTTGTGCATATGCTGTAACGGAGGGGGTGCATCCATGAAAGCGCTGCCTCACCAAATTTCTAGGCCTCTTCAGTACGTAGTCAGGAGTTTTTTTTTACTATCTTCGACCTTGACGAGACTTGCTTTGTCGCGACGCATTTTGGCATATTTAACAACCAGAACTTTCCAAGAACAACCTCGACCCACCACCCTCACACTGTAAAATTGAAACTAGGTCAATGAAGCTCAACACGCGAAGCTCAGTTTTACGGATTTCCAGAGGTAACTAATTTTCAGCCCAATCAAAAGAGTGCGTCTGGCTAAGACAGTACTAATAGCCTTATTTCTCGTAGAAAAACCAGGAGCTGATGGGCCTGTCCGGGAGCCCATGCGCCCTGTTCGTTTCAGGTATAATGCATGCTTGCGAGGCGCTTAAAATGTAAGAGGGAATACCCCTTTCGGTGGCCCTTTTTGGCAAAACACGCCAAGACTGGAATCTAGGGAGGCATTGGCCCTATGCCCCTTTTAGAGCTTAAAGCATTTACAGAGCACAGAACCACCCGGACATGAAATTAAGTGGATCCATTCTTATAAACAGTCGGCGACCAAACCTTAACGCACAAGGCTCATTACGGCCGATTATGCGAACGTGATATGTGCCTTGATGTGTGATGCGTGCAAACTTTAGATCGCCTGTATGTATGTGTGATGCCTGACGTGTGATGTGCGATGCCCATTTAATGGAATTGTTTCCATGTATAGATGGTGTGTGATGTCCAATGCCTCTTTACTTGAATTCGCTTGCATGTTTGAATGAAGCGTGATGCGTGATGCCTGTCTACTTGAATTCGTTTGCATGCCCACGTATTTTTTCGCGTATTGTTATTCTTTGTTAGATATGCACTGTATCGTAGTAATGGCTCGCAATTGCTCCTTGTTTAATGCCCTGAATGTTGCCGACCAGTGAAAAACTGTGGCTTGCCGTCTTAAAAAAAGAAAACTGGAAAAATCGTATAGAATCATCGGCAGGCAATTTCGAATGTACTTTTGCTATTCATTTCGATGAAGGCATGTTGCCGAAATATCAACGCAGCTATATCTTCGTTCTCCTGTTTTTTCCCCGAGTAGTTACACTTCTACTACTGTCTTATCTATGTGCATAATGCTCCTCACAAATGCACTTTATACTTGACGTAAAAGGGTCCGCTTTTGAGCTTCCTTAGTAATCTTGAACTTTGTCTGAAGTCATAGTATATAAGTCAACAACTTTTTCAGGCTAGCTGAAATGGTCAGCCCCGATTGACATTAAACCCAATTATGCAGTAGTACGGAAATTGTTAGATGTCCACTTAAGATTTGAGTCATTTTGAGCCCGTTCCAAAGAGTTCACTCCGATTGACTTTGAACTTTGGTACATAATATCTCGGGAAGTTTCGTATGTCCACATTAACTTGAAAGGTTGTTAAACGCTTGGGGCATTGTCTATGAGTTAACAAATTTTAAACTCAGTCGAAAGGATTGAGCTTTTATTTTATTTCCCAACTGATTTGGGGTCAATTCGCTCTGATTGACTTCGAACTTTGATCTACAAGATCTCTGGAAGTTACGTATGTCCACCTCAGCTGTTCGGGTTTTGAGATGCATATGCCAAGTTTCATCAGTCAACCAACTCTCAGCAAGATCGTGAGGGTCGGGATATTGATCTGCAATTTGATATAAATCTGCTGGTAGCGTGACGGACATGCCTGAGCCGGGGTTTATTGCAAAAAGTCCTGGCTGGGACAAATACTCTGCCAACATCCTGGCTATACATTGACACTTTAAGCTTATCCATTTTAAATCACCATCTACACCTAAACGACGTGTGACAACGTTTGCAGCGTCGATGTGAGGAGCCAGGGTACGTTTTGCATTGGTCTTTAAGTCAATTGGGAGACGAAATAGCTTGAGAGAACGGGAAAAAAGCATTCATAAGTTTAACTTTTGGATCTGGCTGGGTGGCTAGGTTATATTTCAGTAAGTAAGCTGTCCCAGGGAGCTGGCCCCGCTATTGATAAACTGTTCCTCCAAGCTGCTCTAAATTAGTTCAGCCCAGGATTATTTTCCAGGGAAATGAGTGATAACAACAGCGAAATGATCACCTCGTGTTCTCCGATGCGCAACCTGATAGCCCTGAGCCCTGTTGCAATCCCGTCATCGTTATCACCTGCAGCCGCGCCGCTCAGGCGACCGTAGTCTTCAGCATAACACTCGGCAGGTTCCGGGTTGTAAAAACTACTTTGACGGACTATTTGGAAGGCGAGACCATTGGCTTCAGATAGGTATGGAGTGCAGTGCAGTACCTCTAAAGATTTTAGTAGGCATTAGCAGAGGGCGGATTCAGCTCTGCCCAGGGGCCTAGTCTTGCGAGATAAATTGGGGAAGGGGTTGAACAGTGAGAAATAAGGATTTACCGCGAAAACACAGTAAACGGGTTTCTCTACGGATTTGGCCCGCTTCCTGCTCAAGATTGAGAGAGAGGGGGTTGGCTGCAGCCCAGGTTTTGGGGAGAGCCGCCAATTAAATAGGACGCCGCAGCCCTGGCTCAGCATACAGCAGGAAGAGCGACACGCCGGGTGGATCTCTGCCGTGCCGGACGCCGTGACTGACACCCTCTGAACTCCCGCAGGACGGCGGGCGCCCTGCGCTCGGACGCGGAGCGCGGATGTACAGCGAAGATTGGCCTGCTGAAGGTCCCCATGCTACCCAGAAAGTCGTTTCCCGTGGAGCGGTAATACTTTAGTCACTAACTTGGTGACGTCAAGAAGTGTTGGAAGGGCTGTGATATTTTTCGATCTGTTCGCTTGTAAGGTAGCGACACTCCCAGAATCTCAAGCTAAAATCTCACTCATGCTCTATTTTTTAAAAGTTTTTTATCTGTTGTGTGCGGTATTGCTACATTTATTGTCCACGCTTTATTTTATCATAAGCCTAAAGCTCTTAAGGGGGTTAAACGGTGTTCAAAATGCTAGGAGGTGTTGGTTGACACGCGTTCGGGTGGGGGTCTAACTGACTGGCTAACTGACCCACCCGAAGGTTTTTCCGAAATTATTTCCGAACGGCGCGGTGCAACTGCGCCAAATTTTGCGTAGCTATAGATAATTGAATAGCAGATGGTTTGGAATAAAAAATTAGATATAATAAGTAAGGTTGCTGACCTATGGCACGTCAAAGTCAGACCATGGTTTCAGCAAAGGCAATTTCTTTGGGAATCGGTCAATCTGATCCAATAACGGAGTGTTAGACGAAGCCATACATCTCTGAGATACTTCCTTAGGCAACACAACAATTGAATGAACAAATTACACTGACCTAAGGTCTGGTCTTAAGGTCAGAATAAGGTCAAAAACCCAACATGTTCTATTGCTGTATGGGGTAGTTTTTGGTGCTCATTTCGAATTAACTGATAACAGTAACCGAATTATACACCTTTCATGGCCTTCTTAAAGGTCAGAAAAGGTCACTAGCATAGAAGGACCCATGTAAACAGTTTGTTTTTAGGAACCTGCTGCCTAGCGTGGTCTTTGTCGCTTATCCAAATGCAAAACTCCTGACAGTCTGGTATGATTTTGGGCACCATGACCTTCAAAAAGTGAAACAAGGCCACTGAATAGACAACATGGATTCACCTGTAGTGTTCTGGGAGTTTCGTTTGCCTTCTAAAGCGAACAGCATTGGAAAATCTCGCACCCAACTGACCTCTTGTGATAAAACAGCATGAACAGCCTTATTCTTTGTAGAATAGTCAGGAGAATGGAAAGAAAGGTAGATTCACATATCGGCTGCATTTCTTCATCAAAACGAATATCAGTGGACTTTGGTAGATATTCGTGACGAACTGTGGTTATGTGGAACTGTGATTCGTAATTTGTGTACAGTTGTTTTGTATTTACTGGTTTGGGCTCACAACTGTGAGCTGACACCTTCGTGACGCAATGATTGACACGCCTGACTGTGAATAAACTTAGCAGGTTTGCTTCCGAAGCCTGCTTGACTATTCTGCTTCAACCAGCCCGGGCTCGAACCCCGGGAACGGCGGTTCAAGCCTCGAAGACGGCGCGTTGTTTGCACGGTAACGTAATAATTAACGGTGATTTGACCTGACGGCCAACCAGCATGCATTGGTCATGTCAGTGTAAGTGCCAAGTGTCATGTTAAATGCCGTGTAAAATATCATATGTCACGGTATATCCCACGTCGTATGTCACGTCAAAAGTCATCTCAAATGTCATATCAAAGATCATGTAAAATATGAGGGCGAATTACGTGTAAAATATCGCACGTCACGCAAAATGTCATGTCGCGGCATTGTAAAGCACGGAATGCTCCAATCGGATGCGAGGTGAAAAAGGCGCGTAGCAGCCTTATCTGCTGAACTGCTATTGCGCAACTGGCTGGCGGCAACATACAGTTACGACAGCCGGGAACAAACTGTAAGCTCTACTGTGGACATATTGAGGGTGGTAAAACCTGCCGACTTGGTGGATAAGGTTGGCGACAAAAAGTTATATATTCACGCGAAGCTTGGTACCAAAATATTTAGACAAAAATTTTGGTGACAGCCGCGACGAAGGAATACAGCGCATGCTACAAAACCCAACATAAGGTTTCCATACATAGATGTTACGCATTCATGGCTGTACATTTCGTCACACAACACAACCAAACCTTCCCGTGAAGACCCTTTGACGTACCATACGGCACCATGGTGTTTTATGTTTCCACCCAACCTGGCGACAAAAATATCCTACAATTTTTGATTCCCGTGAAGTTAGCGATTTATTCAACAATTTTTTTCAGCGACGAGTTCAGATTCCCCCGAAAAAACGGTTTCAAGGTCAGTTGTGGCATGAGAACACCAAAACTGACATTTTGTTTGCAATATTATGCGACCTTCAAGGTAAAAAGCTGGGTCAAGGCACGGGGAACTAGATATCACCCAAAATTTACCTGCCGATTGTCGGCTTGCAAACGTCAGAATATTGAGCACAGAAAGAACTAGCGTCCATCCAAAAGTCCTGGCCTCTCAAGGTCACCCTTCAAGGTCAAATACGGTCTAAAAAAACGGGGAACTCCATATCACTCAAAAATTACTGGCAGATTTTTAACGTCCGAACATCAGAATATTCACCACAGAACGAACTAGCGTCCGTCAAAAAGTCCTGATCTCTCAAAACCACCCTTCAAGGTCAAACGCAGGCTCAAAGGACGGGGAATATCCATATCACCCAAAAATTACGGGCCGATTTTTAACTTACAAACATCAGAATATTCACCAAAGCAAAACTAGCGTCCGTCCAAAAGTCCTGTACTCTCAAGGCCACTTTTTAAGGTCAAACGCGGGCTCAAAGGACGGGAAACTCAAAATCACCCAAAAATTACTGACCGATCTTTACCTTACAAAGATCAAAACATCCACTACAGGAAGAGCTAGTGTCCGTCTCAAAGTCCTGACCTCTCAAGGTCACCCTTCAAGGTCAAACGCCGGCTCAAAGGACGGAAAACTCTTTATCACCCAAAAATTGCAGGCCGATTTTTAACTTACAAGCATCAGAATATTCACCACAGAACAAACTAGCATCCGTCAACAAGTCCTGACCTCTCAAGGTCACCCTTCAAAATCAAACGCAGGCACAAATGACGGGGAACTCCGTATCACCGAAAAATTACCGGCCGATTTTTAATTTAAAACATCAGAATATTCACCGAAGAAAAAAAAACTAGCGTCCGTCCAAAAGTCCTGACCTCTCGAAGCCACTGTTTAAGGTCAAACGCGGGCTCAGAGGACGGGGAACTCTAAAGTCACTAAAAAATTAGCGGCCGATTTTTAACTTACAAGCATTAGAATATTGACCAGAGACCATCGACCATTGACCAGAGACCAGACCATTGGCATTAGAAACAAAGAACTAGCGTCCGTTAAAAAGTCCTGACCTCTCAAGGTCATCCTTCAAGGTTAAACGCGAACTCAAATGACGGGGAACTCCAGAGCACCCAAAAATTGCCAGTTGACTTTTAACTTATGAAGATCTAAACATTCACCACAGAAAGGGCTAGAGTCCGCCAAAAAGTCTTGACCTTTCAAGGTCAACCTTCAGGGTGAAATGCGAGCTCAATGGACGGAGAACTTCATTTCACCCAAAAATTTCCCGCCGATTTTCAACTTACAAACATCAAAATAATTACCACAGAAAGAGTCCACCCGTAAGAAAATGACTTTATATCTTAATGTCACCCTTCAAGATCAAACATGGGCTGTGATGACGGAGAACTCCACATCACCTAAAAATTACCGGTCTATTTTAAGCATACAAACACCAGAATATTTTCCAAAGAAAGCACTAGCGTCCGTCAAAAAATCCTTACATCCCAAGGCCACCCTTCAAGGTCAAAGACGGGCTCAAATGACGGGAACTCAATATCACCCAAAAATTACCGACTGATTTTAAACCTGCAGACATAGGAATACTCACCACCAAAAGAACTAGCGTCCGGCAAAAAGTCCTGCCCTCTCAAGGCTACTTTTGAAGGTCAAACGTGGCCTCAAAGGACGAGGAACTCCATATCACCCAAAAATTACCGGCCGATTTTTAACTTACAAGCATTCGAAAATTCACCACAGAGAGAACTAGCGTCCGTCAAAAAGTCCAGACCTCTCAAGGTCACCCTTCAAGGTCGAAGGCGAGTCAAAGGACAGGGAGCCGTATATCACCCAAGAATTACTGGCCGATTGTAACGTACAATCAGAATATTCACATAGGAAAGAGCTAGCGTCCGTCAAAAGTTCTGACTTTTCAAGGTCACCCTCCAAGGTCAAACGCGGGGTAAAAAAATGGGGAACTCCATATCATCCAAAAATTACCGGCCGATTTTAAATTTTCAAACATCAGAATATTTCCCACGGAAAGGACTTGCCTCCGTCAAAAAATCCTCACCTCCCAACCTTACCCTTTAAGGTCAAAGGCAGACCCAAAGGACGGGGAACTCCATATCACATATCCAAATGACGATAATTTTGAGGTGAAGAGGCTGTTTTTTCAGGAAACGGGCTAATGGCGGTAAATATTTTGTTTGTTTTTATCTTTTACTCGGGATGTCAATGTTAACTCTCGGTAGAGCATCGAAAATGCCTTGTAAAGCTATTTTGGCTGTTTTTTTAGGGACCCTCTTACAAATGAGGCGCGGTTAGTTGATATTTTCAAACGTTTCTCGAACATGTGATTGAATTGTTTCATGAGCCATTGGCTTGGGCCGAGGCGTGGGCGTCTGGATTACTTTGCTTTTCTCCTGATAAGTTGCGCAGCTTAGCTTCCGTTTTATTCGCATTATACGGATTTTTTTCGTTGCTCATTGTGTATGCCCTAGGTTTTCTCCAGATGTGTTCATGCGAGGGAAAACCAACATTGGTGTGGATGCTTGTCTTGTTCGAGCTTAAGTGGGTGATTGGAGTGAAAGGGTATGCATTACTTTCCTGAATGCTTGGAAATTTACCTAAATGTACTTTTCTGATGTGTTGTTAAACCTACAAGCAGCCAATTTGCAGCCCATGGCAGATATTGGCCGGGTCTTGACTGCATGGAAGACTTATGCACATTTTCTAAATAACTACAGGTTATTAGGGAATAATCAGTGATTGCTGCATTCTTTGGTATGCAGAAATTATTAGCTATAAAAGTGCATGGAAATTGATTAGATGTTACTGCTAGAAATGTGGGACATGTTGAATGTTTGGTGTTCTTTACCTTCCGGCCGAATAATCATATACAGGTTTGATATACTGACTTGATACTTGCTGCAATTGGTGCCAACAGCACCCCAAACTCAGAGCTCTAGGGTTTATGGCACACAAGCACTGAAGCTCATGCAGCAACATCATCACTACACCATAAACATTCAGTGTTCTTTACCTTCTGGCCGACAATGTTTGCGGAGAGAAGAGCGTCGGCTTAAGTCTGTAATGAGGACCGGCTAATCAGCTGACGAAACGTCGCTGCCAGGCTGGGTGAATCATCCCAATGACAAGTTTTGTGCTACTCATGACGTCACTGGTAGAAATGTGAAAAAATGGATCTTTTTTTACTTTTCACAATATCACAAGGATTCACCAGCCACTTATGATGCCAACATTGAAAACCAAGCAGGTATTCGTAATAATACGTGTCCTGCATCCCA